AAATATATTTATATCAATATAAATTATATTATAACAAAATTTGATTTGATATCTATGTAAATACATAACATTTTTTAATTGCACAATGTTAATTTAAAATTTATATTTTATACGTAAAATAAAATGATAATTAGAAGGTCATTTTAACATATATGAGTCCACATTTAGTGCAAAAACAGAAATAGAGCAAAATGATAAGTTACAAAAACAGATTGATGCAAGAGTGACTTAACGAGTCCAGCCGAGCTCGACTCGATAGATAAACGAGCATGAAATTGAGCTCGAGCTCGAGCCGATTCCGAGCCAATTCCGAGCTTTAACTATAAAAAATTATATAAATTTTTTTTATTTTCGAACCTTAACGAACTTTATTGAACCTTAACTAGCTCGGCTCGTTAGCTCGTAAAGCCTCGAACTCGAGCCTTAACGAGCCGAACCAAAGCTGGTTTGATTTAATAGCACTATGCAAGATGATTGAATGTGATCTAATTTTTAATTCACATTCGTCGTGTGAAGCTTCACGGAGGTACCAGGCGGCGCAATGGCTGCGGCAGATGGACCATGGCGCGTGGGAGGTCCTTCCCAAAGAGCCCACGGAGGAGCAATTCCGTCTTGCCCTCCGCAACGGACTCATCCTCTGCAACGTCCTCAACAGAGTCAATCCCGGCGCCGTTCACAAGGTATCCCACCTGCTCTATTTCTTTATTATTTTTATTCTTTTTAATTGCCCGGAGACCTTTACGTTACGTCTGGTAGCTTGATGCTGCTGCTTGTGTATGTTAAGTTCTGCTTGTGAAAAATGTGTAGGTGGTGGAGAACCCAGTGGTGGATGTGCAGGCTACAGAAGGCGCTGCCCAGTCTGCTATTCAGTACTTTGAGAATATGAGGAATTTTCTTGTAGCTGTGGGCAACATGAAGCTCCTCACATTTGAAGCCTCTGATGTTGAAAAGGTCTGCTCCTAAATTTTGAAATTCATGTTGTATACAAGATCAGTAGATACAAGATCACGCTTGTCATTCTTTAGTTAAGTCGTGTCTCTGTAGTTGGATTGTATCCCCACAGTCTCTAAGAAAGTACAACTCACTTCATGATTTGTTTATTTTGTTCTGTTGCACTCATATATCAACCTAAGTAAACAATGTTGAGCTGTATTCTTAGCACTTGGAACATGAATATTATTAAAGTAAATCAGTTTTCGTATTCACTCGCTAGGTTATTTACATCTTGAGTATGGTAATGTGCATTACCACAGCATTTATGCAAACCACTGTATAGTCTGCCTGAATTCGTAACCTGATATATATTTACTTAACTTTTGTCCAACATCATGACCATTAGATCATCATATTCTACTATAATGAACTTGACATTGTTCAACCTCGCAGGGAGGCTCATCGGGAAAAGTCGTGGAATGTATTTTGTGTTTGAAAGGATACTATGAATGGAAGCAATCTGGAGGTCGTGGAGTCTGGAGGTATGGTGGAACAGTGAGAATCACATCCTCAGTAAAAGATTCTCCACCCTCTCTAGTGAGCAGTGAGAGTGTAGATGAATCTGTAGATGATTCTGAATCATCACAATACGACCAACTAATGGAATTCCCCCACTTATCTGCTGACTCCCTCGAGGAATCAAGTGCAGCCAATGTACTCACTTTCATGTTCGATTATTTTAGTCTTGGCCTTTTGCAATCCTACATGACCGAAACCAATAGATTTGATGAGATGCCCATAAACTCAACGGTAGGTAAGATTACTTTCTTTGATATATTTCCATTTTTTTAAGTGAGAAATAGTCCAAAAACAAGGCATCTGAAAAGCTTCATTCCTTCTTAAAACAAAAAAGTATCTTAATTTGCATTACACATAAATTTTTAATAGCACTAGATGTATATATAAATATAGTGCACATACATAATCCTCGTTATTTGTTGGAGTAGCAAGATCATGGTATATATTGTGCTCTTTTCTTTACAGAAAGGAAACATTTATCTCCTCAATTCATTATTCATTGATAAATGCACTACAAATTGCAAGTATATCTATAAACACTTGAGGTTTCCACAAAATGCTATATTTCATATTGTCTCTAGGATATGAGTATTCTTTGTAACTGTTTCCATAGATATCCGTACACAGAAATTCTGTAATGCTAACTTTGCTAAATTATCTGGGTCCAAATGATTTTCCTGTGTTACGCAGTAATGATATAGCATGGCTATTCTTTGAGAAATTTAGAATGTTAGGCATTTCCAGAACTCGACAATATAAGAGAAAAGGTTATGTATGGCCACCCATTATCAGTGATTTACTAATAGAGGTTTGCCCATGTAATTAAAGCATCATATTTTTGTGGCTTCAATTGTTAGAAATGATATGGTTACTAGAAAACATTTGATGCTGGTTTTTAAGACAAGGCCATTTTCTCCTGTTTATGAAATCTTACGTTATATAGTGTTCTGCCATTTGAGTTGGTTCCATATGTATATTTTATATATCTTATAGTCACACAAATAAATCAGTTTGTGTTTGTCGTTTTTCAACACTTCTTTACTAAACATTTGATTGGTGTAACCTATGTATTTATATTTACTTATCATCATAAATCTAGTCTATTGTTGCAAATTATAGGTCATTGATACAGTGCTGAAGAAGGTAGCTAAAGATTTTTCAGAATTGTTGGTTTCTCAAGGCCGTCAGGTGATTGAATTTGCAGTAAATATTTTTGAAGATGACACTACTGCTCTCAATATGACAACTCATTTTCCAAATATGTAGTCTTATGGAGGTTTAAGTTATTTCTTGATTTTGCAGCTTGGCTTGTTTCTGAATCAAGTTCTGGACAATGGCTGCAGTCCTCAATCCAAATCACAGTTTGACGAAGCCATATTACAGTATCTGAGCAAAAGGACGAGTTTAGTATCACAGGATATTGCAAAATTCTGCATTTGTGGAGGAGAAGGAGGTAGAACTTGGAATAGGCATAACTTCTCTCGTGTTGGTATAGAACTACTTGATCTTCAACACCGACAACTAGAGGTATTAGTTCTTGGTTTTTTTTCCTAACCTTCAAATCTTTGTTTTCCTAACTAATGACTTAGAAATATTGTAGGACGAGAAATTAAAATAATCCACGAGAAATGATTTTGTTGTGAATTTGACTTCAATGGGCAGCTTGAACTCAAATAATGTAGTTGTTCAGAAGGAGATCATTACATGTTAAAGATAACTAATTTCATAAGGTTGATTGAGATCCTATCATTATTGAATCATATTTGATGGATTCACTCTATACGAGTGTGTGCATTTTCACAATGATTTGTAGTGTTCACCTCATATTGATTACTATTACTAAGACATTTTTAATAAGTCATTTGGACAAGTTTGATATTGTTTAGCAAAGTTCAGTGGTGCTGCACATTTTTGATATGTTAATTATAATTTATATATGAAAAGCATATCATTACTTTTTTACTGTGTAATTAATTTCAGGATTTAAAAGCTCTTTTTAATGAGACAAAGGAAGAACTCAACCGTGCTCGGTTAGGATGGGGAAACGAACTTCACTCCCTTGGTAAGCTTGTTTTATTCTTTATCTCTGTGTAATTCATGTTTCACCTTAAAAACTTGACTTGAAGTTCCATGGTGTATAAATAAAGCTATTACTTTTTACAGGACATCATGTTAAGGGTCTAGAAGTGGCTGCTTCGTCGTATCACAAAGTTTTGGAAGAAAACCGTATTCTCTATAATCAAGTTCAAGATCTAAAAGGTGCACACGTGTGTGCATGTGTGTAAATATTTAATTATAGAAACAAGTTTGTAGCATAGAAAGATCACTGAATTCAATATGATGAGATATGATTTTCCAGGGACCATCCGAGTTTACTGTAGAGTAAGACCGTTCCTCCCAGATCAATCTAATGGACATTCTACAGTTGATTATATTGGGGAAAACGGAAATATCATGATTGTGAATCCCCTAAAGCCCAGCAAAGAAGCAAGAAGGGTTTTCTCATTCAATAAGGTGTTTGGGACAAATGTGACACAACGTACGTCTTTTCAGTTCCTCATCTGACCTTTATAAGTAGTCATTAAAAAACAAAATTAGCATAAAATAGAGAAGTTTATAACTCCATCATTATCAATACAGATACCTTATTGCAGGCTCTCATTCTCAACTCTTTTGAATTTTGCAGAGGATATATATGCTGACACTCAACAACTGATCAGATCTGTTTTAGATGGCTATAATGTTTGCATCTTTGCGTATGGTCAAACTGGCTCCGGGAAGACGTATACCATGGTATTATAATTATTATAACGATTTAATATTCAACTTCAATAGGGTCTCTAGGATGTTAGGCATAATAAGTTTAAAAATATATCTGATGAATGGCATTCTGGCTTCTAGAGCAACTTGTCTCATGTTTTTTCAAGTAATGTAATGTTTATGTTCCACATCTTTTCTAGAGCTTTAAACATGATGCATATTTTCTCGATTTTGAGGTAGTAATTGTAAAGATGGTTCCATCTTCCAAGGTAGTAATCAACTACTATTATTAAAGTTTCTCAACCACAACATTATAGCTGGTTGCCATTCGACATGTTACTATAGAAAATAAACCTCTATAGCTTTATGGTGGTTGAAACGTGAAAACTTATGATAGATCAGCTATTTTGTAGTAGGCTGATCACCATGTCAACAATAATATGGCTTGCAATTGTCCTTTGAATATCTTTGTGAATGAACCAATGACCATTGAATTTCCATGTAAAAGAGCGGTCCAGATTTGACAACAGAGGAGACATGGGGAGTAAATTATCGAGCGTTACGTGACCTGTTCCACATTTCTAAGGCCAGAATGGACGCTATAGAATATGAAGTTGGTGTTCAAATGATTGAGATATACAACGAACAAGTTAGAGATTTACTGGTCTCTGATGGAAGTAGCAGAAGATATCCTTGCCCATTTTATAATATTTTTAACGTAAAAATCTTGTTTCTAACAACTTTTAAAAATGAACTTTGATTGTCCTTAATTACCCATACATTAGATATTCGAAATAATTCTCAGCTTAATGGACTTAATGTTCCAGATGCTAGTTTGGTTCCTGTTAAATGCGCTCAAGATGTTCTTGATTTGATGAAAATCGGACAAAAGAACCGTGCTGTGGGTGCTACGGCTTTGAACGTTCGGAGCAGCAGATCTCATAGGTTATTATCATATTGGCCCTTTTAACTGTACTGTTATTTGGTATAAAATCTGATGTTTTTTAGTAAAACTGAAGGCCTTTTGTTGCCAGTATTTTGACAGTTCATGTTCGGGGAAAAGATCTGGTGTCAGGTTCAATATTAAAGGGTTGCCTTCATTTAGTTGATCTAGCTGGGAGTGAAAGAGTGGATAAATCTGAAGCTGTTGGTGAGAGACTAAAGGAAGCCCAGCATATTAATAAGTCGCTCTCTGCACTTGGTGATGTTATTGCTGCACTTGCACAAAAGAGTTCTCATATACCTTACAGAAATAGCAAGCTCACTCAAGTGTTGCAAGATTCTTTAGGTAGTATATACAACCCACATTTATTTTGTGAGCAATCTTCCATTTTTGTTTATGTAATAGAAAAATTATACGAAATCTAGCTTTCGATATAGCACTTGTCTTTTCTTAAGTCTGTTATATTTTTCAATTATTGATTTCTCTTACATGAGTTCACTATGGAAAGGAAAAGAATAAAAACTCAAAACATCAAGTTTTCTGAAAGCTTGTTTTAGGATTATATTATTGAAGGTTAACAAAACAATGTGATTAACATATTACCTTATCATTGTTATATTTTGAGCAGGAGGGCATGCTAAGACGTTGATGTTTGTTCATATAAACCCGGATGTTAATGCTCTAGGGGAGACAATCAGTACCCTGAAATTTGCCGAAAGAGTTGCCACGATAGATCTTGGGGCCGCCCAATCTAATAAAGAGACTAATGAGATAAAAGACTTTAAAGAAGAGGTTTGTTCTTTTACAATTACTTATCTGCTTTGGCTTGGATCACGTTCAGCTCACGCTCTTACTATTTCATGGTTTATCAAGATCTCAAACTTGAAGCTATTACTGGAAAAGAAGGAAGTTGAATTGGAACAGCTAAAAAGTCGCACAAATAATCGAGGAGCAGTATCTCCACTACGGCTATCTAAATTTACCAGCAATGCCAGTTTGAAGCCTGAGTTCAATCAGCAACATCTTGGTACTCAAATTGTGGAGGTAACATCCATAGCTACAGTACATGATAGATAAAAGTTCAAGTATTCATGAATAATCTAAATCAGATCCTCACATTTTTAGCTTGAATCATGGTTTCTTAATTCTTGGTAACATAAAAAAAATAGCACAATTGAAGTTAAAGACTTGTTAAGATTTTTAGTCATCGTTCTTGTTTATGTGAGGCGTGGATAACGGGCTACATTGTTTGGATAATGGCTTTTATTATATGGTTCTGGGGTTTGTTCAGACTTGCACATGCACAGATTTCCATATATATATTTTTTTTTTTGCCTCACCCATGTAATACCTAATTACTATGCTAAATCCACAGGCGAGAAGCTGTTCCTCTGGCAAACAGAGGCGATCTCGATTTCCCTCAAAATTCACGGACAAAGATGTCATACCAAAAATGCCCCTCCAACCAGAAGACAAATCAGCAAGCTCCATAATGCCTAGATTTTCATCTCCCCCAATCCGGAGATCAATATCAACCGATAGAGCCGCTACTGTTAAACCTCGAATAAAGCCCGATGTTCTCGAGAATCCGCCAGCCTTGAAAGCTCCATTTCCTGCTAGCCTCTCGGTAAATAAACCTGTTGTTATTGCTAGTGTGCCTCTAGTTGTACCCATAGCAGTAAATTTGCGCCCCCCTTATGAAGGGTCAAAAGAACAACCTTTCACAGATACCCTTGAAGGATCCCAGAGGGTCACACTAGGAAAAGCTCAGCCCAAAAGTGAAGAACACATTAAACAAGCGATGAATGTACGGCATGGTGGCATCAGGAAAACTAGACAGGAGGGCAAGGTCAAGATCAATGCCAAGCAGCATATATCGGCTAAAGCCCAGAAATCTACTTCTCCTGAAATACCCCTGCTTTCTGATGTTTGCGCGGAAAAATTGCTGGATGAGACTCAGAAATATGATTTTTCGGGTTTGGAAAGCGGGCCTGGGAATTTTCAGTTGCCAGCCACTAGGATGAAGAAGGCTCACAGAAACTTCTCCAGTAACTCCCAAAATGTAGAACCAAGGTATGACAAACATAAATATACTCTTCTTAAAAAAACTTTAATTGGAGTTTTGCCATGAGACCCTTTCCAGCACAAGCAATCCACCATGCCATTGTTTTATTTTTTATTTTTTAGGTGTCAAGATTGTTAACTTGTTTTATTCCTTTTACAGAGAAGTAATTCAGCCCGTGGATCCCTTGTTGGCGGCATACCAAGACTACAAAACTTCAAATACAGTAACTCAGAATGGGAAGGATATAGGACGTCCGGCTGTTCCTGAATGTCGAAGGAGTAGATCTACTCCTAGAGGAAAATTTATGATGTGATTGTACAAGATTTTGAGAGTCGTGAGAAGATCTGTATAGGACTTTATTTGCTTCTTGACTTCGGGATATAAATGTCCGGCAGACCTGTGGCTACCGTTTTACTGTATAGCTTGGCAGATGTCTCGGCTACTATGATTCTTGTTGGGAACTACACAAATTTTTTTCATGTGCATAGTTATTAAGATTTATAAGTTTCGTTGTCGTGCTCGTGCAGCCATATATGGAGATGGACTGCGATATTCATGTAATCGGCATATGATCAGCCGGTGAATGAGATACAAAATACGTATTTTGA